TGCGTATGTTCATTTGGTATTGATGTTATGCTCATTTTAAAATGTTACATAATGCATATTTCAAAAGTATCATAAGTTCACATATTGAAATTCATAAGGGTTGATTATAGATATAATTTAAAAAAAAATTATAAAAACAAAAATAACAAAAAAAAAGTGAATTAAAAGTTATGAAGCAGATATCATGATGTTCAACATTAGACTCATAATACTCAACAAAATAGGTTTGATGCTCATTAAAAGTTAATAAATGCTCATTTAACAGAAAATGTGATTTTCATCTCAAGATAGGAGGTTTGATGCTCAATGAAAGTGTCGTGATACTCAAGCAACAAACCTGACAATTCTCATATCAATGCGCATATTTGGTAAGTTTAATTTGCTCATATGATACTCTTGAGATATGCATTGATATGACATTTTAAAACTGAGCATAACATCAATACCAAATGAGCATACATAACATACAAAGTGCACATTGATATGAAAATCGCAAGGTTTGTTAGTTGAACATCACGACATTTTAATTGAGCATCAAATCTCCGCTATTGAGATGAAATCACGGTTTCTGGTGAATGAGTATTAATAAACCATTAATGAGCATCAGACCTATTATGTTGAGTATTAGGAGTCTAATATTTGGAATCGTGATCTCTGCTTCATAACTTCTAATTCACTTTCTTTTTGTTATTTTTTCTTTTATAAAAACTTATTAAATTATATTTATAATCAACTCCTATGAATTTTAATATTGAACCTAATGCAAAATAGAATAGTACTTTTAAAAAATGCATCGATGTGACATTTAGAAAATGAGCATAAGATGAGTACCAGATGAGCATACGTAACTAACAAAATGTGTATCGATGAAAATCATGATATTTGTTAAATGAGCATTAATGATCTTTTAATGAGCATCAGATCTATACAAATGAGCATACGTAACTTACAAGATGAGCATTGATATAAAAATTGGAAGTTTTATTCGTTGAGCATCAAGACAAATTCAGCGAGCATCGAACCCCCGTTATTGATATTAGAATCGTGCGATTGAGTATCATGATTTGTGATCTCGTGTCTATAATCAAATTCTAAGTGAATCTAATGTAATATGAGACTTTCGAAATATACGCATTGATATAAAATTTTAAAATGAGTATAACAATGGTACTAAATGGACATATATGTATAACTTACAAAATGAGTTTTCAAAAACTCATTTGTGTATGTTCATTCTTTTTAGACGCTTTACTTATTGGAGTTTAAAATAAAGCTCATTTCAAATGTGCTCGGTATTAATGTATAAAGAAAAAGAAGAAGGAAACAAGAAATAAAAGAAACGAAAAGAAGAAAAGAAAAAGACAAAAGAAAAGAAAAGCAAACTAAAACTAAAGTAATGAAAAAATAAAATAAAAAAGATAAACACAAAATGTAAAAGACAAAGAGAATAGCAGCTGGAAAAGAAAGAAAAGGAACGTGGCTTAATTGAAAAGAAGGAAGAGGGGGCGGCTGGAAGGAAAGAAAAGAAACGGTATTCGGCAGGGAGGCGCATGGAGCAACTCAGCCTAGAAACTTGCTACTAATTAGTAATTACAAAAAAAACCGGGTGTACATGTACACCCGGGTGTACCATATAGGCGCTCATACGGTTATACGTGCGTACCAGGGCCGGTCCCGACTCATTAGAGGCCCTGTACAAAATTAATTAGGAGGCCTCGTTTTTTAATAAAGAAAATATCATAATAAGAAAAGTAAACTCCATCTCGGTGCACAAGTACATTAAAATAATCGATTTCACAATCCTAGCCTCCCATGTATGAATTGAATTTACAAACAGTTAAGAATTAAAATGCACTTGCTTCGTTGCTCAGTAATTAAAAACTAGCGGAGTAAAAACATCTTTTAGATCACAAGGATTCACAGCATCTGCCCAAACTCTCCATTTTGTGATACGGGAGATTGACTCCATCAATGTATTTTTTCAACCATATCTATTACAATTGAGATCATGTTTTTTGGTAGTGTGGGTTATTTCTCCAAATCCCTCCAATATGTATGTCAATTAGGAACACATGGAAGACAAAAGAACTAGAAACAGAGTACCTAAAAACCATAAGAAACCGTAGAGGCAAAAGACGTAAGTCTCTCCCTCTGTCCCGTGATTCCGCGGCAGCTTCGTCATTCCGTAGGAGAGAAGTGGTTCAAAGAGGAGGTGATTGAGAGAAAGAGATCTAGTAGTTGATTAGTTGCTCCTTTCAAAGAGTCCCTTTGTGGATTATAGAGAGTCTCGATCTTTCGCATATTGTTTGAAAAAGCCATGTAAATATTAATTTTTGGGTAATATAAGCCATACATATCTATTGAAAATTGGGGCCCTTCTTTCAGGTGAGGCCCTGTTCACCCGCACCGATTATACCCCCTCAAAGCCGGCCCTGGTGTGTACATGCATGTTAAGAATGCTTTTTTATATAATTTTGGTTTAATATTAGCATGTCTGATATTTGGGTTGGTTAATTGACACAAGATGCTGCCAAAGTAGTCTCTCTTGTCTAAATTAATTAACTCGTATATTAAGATGATTGTGTACTTTCTTATTTCATGCGGATAATAACCGGCCCAAAGGAAGGTTATTATTTGGAAGAAATTTAAGTACATTTGTGATAATTAAATTTTGTGATAATTATACGCAAGTCTAATTTATGTCCAAAGAAAATATTAGATATTGTGCTAGGTATCTTATGATGGAATTGCTAATATTTAAAATCAATTATGAAGTTAATTTCAATTGTTTGAATGGTTACATACGTGTGTGTGTATGGAATTTTGTAATTTTACACACGTGTGTATATGTAAAGTATATATATGGTAAGAACATATATGTTTAAAGTTTGACTCATGTATATATTTATATATGGATACAATTGAACTCTTTTGTTCAAATTAGTCACACGTGTGGGTATTAAATGTTAAGTAAAATACATACTTTAAATACACATGATTGTATATATGATAAGTATATATATGCACCAAGTATTAAATTTAATTTAAGAATTAAATATGTGTATATATGTTAAGTATATACTTGGTATACATTAGGTTTTGTATACGTGTAAGTATATTTTAAACGCATATGGTGTTTTAATTTAAGCATAAAATATCTTAAGGAATGACTTATGGACATATACATTACAATATTTGATATGCTTTTATGTTTTAAAATGGGTATGAAATAAGTGCATGCAATCATATCCAATTTAAAGATATACCCGTTTTCTTCCGAGGAAGGAGTATTTGCACTTTGTGCCTTCGGATTCTTCGTTATACAACGTTAAGGAATTGGGACAAAATATTTGAAATTTTAAGACCTCCCATTTAATAAAATTGTCTGATAAATTTTTGTTGGATTAATTCAAACCACGCGTTGCCAAAGTAACCTCTGTTGGATTGAGTAATTCAATTAAAATTTTATCATAGATGTTTGTATGTGATGATTCATGTGAATTATGATCGGCCCAAAGGAAGACATAATTTGACCGGATTATTTACATACCTGCAATAATAAATATGTGGTGATTATAAGGGAAAATTTAATTTTTTTTAATTTTCATTCCATGTGAATGCGGAATGCCCAAAGGCAACCATTATTTGACAGGACTAATCACCAATATTTGATTAATGCATTAAGAGTACCAATTGCAATTATCCTACCAATCCAAAGATTGGAGTATAATGTTGCACTAGGTATCTTGTTTGGGTCTTGTAATTTCACAAAAATTGGTTGTAATTTGGAGCATATAATATATTATTATTCCTTTTTTAGTTGCTACTGCCAATGCTCCTAATTTTACCACTCAAGTCAATGGAATCCCGATGCTTAATGGAACGAGGTAGATGGTGTCTGGATCTTCCTCAATTGAACTCAAGGCCTTAGTCTCTCTTCCGATGGGGAGAAGAGAAGTGAATTGGCGGTTCAATATATTGGGGACCATAGCCTTTATATAGAGTGTGTTGGTCAAGTTAGGGCTCCAATTAAACCCTAACAAGTAACACGAGCCTCTGCTCATTTATTTGGCCCATACAATTTATCTTAATACTCTATTGGGCTTATATAATATTGACCACATAAATACAACTCAATTATGATAAATAGCTAATACAATAATTACAATATTAGCCTATATTAATTATTGGAATAAAATATTCCAACAATCTCCCACTTGGGCTACATATTGTAATTATATTTCTTTAGGCGCGCCTTAGTATGCTATCTATCTTTAGACTTGAACTTAGTCAATCTGGTCCACCTCATGTATTAATAATGGAATTACTGCGGCTTTTATGGTGGTTGTTGTGGTTTAGTCATGAGTTAACAATATGACAAAAGCTGCAATAATTCCATTATTAATACATGAGGTGGACTAGATTGACTAAGTTCAAGTCTAAAGATAGATAGCATACTAAGGCGCGCCTAAAGAAATATAATTACAATATATAGCCCAAGTGGGAGACTGTTGGAATATTTTATTCCAATAATTAATATGGGCTAATATTATAATTATTGTATTAGCTATTTATCATAATTGGGTTGTATTTATGTGGTCAATATTATATAAGCCCAATAGAGTATTAAGATAAATTGTATAGACCAAATAAAAGGGAGAGGCCCGTGTTACTTGTTAGGGTTTAATGGGAACCCTAACTTGACCAACACACTCTATATGAAGGCTATGATCCTCAATATATTGAACCACCAATTCACTTCTCTTCTCCCCATCAGAAGAGAGACTAAGGCCTCGGGTTCAATTGAGGAAGATCCAGACGCTATCTACCTCGTTCCGTTCCATTCCTGTTGCGGCTTCGCTATGGATCCAGGTAGTAATCTTATTATACTCTATTATTCAACATGATGAAGGTCCTGGAATTATTGAACAATTCATTCGATTTGTTCTTGTTTTGCTTCCGCTATATGTAAAAGTATTTCCAACATGTGATACTACTCGAATCAACATATTTTCATATCAACTTCATATTTTCAAAAGAAGTTAATAAAATGAACAATAATACTGCACATGCGGACATGCCAACATGGCAACATACTAATAAGGTGCATCTTGTGCGCAAAGGGAGAATATTCAGGAATAATCCTACGAGATACTCAAACACAGCAGAGTTTCAAAGGACGTGTACTACATAAGTAGTTTCAGACTTTCAGATGTGTCCTGGTTTAATATGATCCGTGCTAGTGTAATCAAAAGCCACAATCATAGGCTCATAGCAAATTAGATTCCACGAGTGTAACCAGACCAGTAAATTTAAAATTTGCTAAGCTATATTCTGATCAAAATCCAAGATGTTTGGCAGCAACTTTGTTGTTTTCGTTTTTCAAAATGTTCGTTATTGTTGAAGTAACCATTGGGACATTGGGTAGTTAAATTCGGTTCACTTTGAGAAGTAGGAACTTGGAAGTTTGTTCATGTAACCTTTTACAAATTCCCAAGTTCCAACAGAAGGCTTGTATGAATTTGTTCTTATCCATTTAGTAATGATGATGAATTATTTAGATGGAAGTGTGGAACTTTGCAAAGAAAAGGCTCATAACATTCAATCCCAACTTTTCTTCTGCAGATCCCACCACATAAAAAAACTGCAGAGAGTGCTGATTTTGCTCAGCAACCAAATATATTTTCCGGTTTCAGGCAGGAATGGCAACGGAAGTGATCCAAAAACCATGTCAGCAACCAGGCCAAATCAACTGGTAATGGAACCAATTGAACAAGAATACCGAAAACCAAAATCGAAACTGATAGACAGGGTTTGCTCAAACCCATAATCAGTCATCCAAAATTGGAACCGCGGTGGGTCTAGATAGGTTGTGGAATGGTGCATTGTGGTTACTCCGAATTGGGCTCTGCCTGGCGGGCTGGGATCCTCTGCTCGAGCCTTTAATGCAGGGTGCCTTGAGCAAATGGAGGGCAAAGATCGAAAGAAGGGCCTCGATATCCTTGAAATGGAGACACCAGATCCCTGCCCGGCTACCAAAACAAGGTAGGGTGCCCAGGAAAATTTAGCCACTTGATCAAAACATTATTAGTTTAGATGTGTTAGTCCATTCCCGTATGGGAGAGGATATCATTTCCAGTTACTCATTAGTCCATAGCTTCTGCACCTGGCAGATAAGAACTTACCTCTGAAGCAATATGAACTTTGACGGAGGGCGATCAATCAATGCCTGGAAAAAAACAAGAGACTGTAGAAATTGAAATTTATAAACATATTAAGTTATAAATCCTTACAAAGTTCATCAATTTACAGAATACATAAATTCATTCAGTTATACAGAGTGATCATTAAACAAACCCTACTCTTATGCTTACTTTAAGTAATTCATTCTAATGGAGAGGAAGAGGAAGGGAACACATCGTTCACAGCAGAAGCGGCTGACAGATAATTCAAAGTGTTCCGCAATGTCTCCATCTCTCTTCTTAGTCTCACACCAGTATCTTCCAGTTCCAGCAACGCCTGCTGTTCTCTAGGCGCTCCTTCGAACGTACTTCCGACGAAGAACGAGAACGGCGTCGGGAAAAGATTCCGCCTCAGATCCTGCGCTTCCTTCTCCGGCTTCCCGTTCAATCTGTTCGACAATCGAATCACGTCTTTCATGTATGTCTCGACTTGGTTCGCCAGAGACTCTAGATCCTCTTCTCCGTTCTCTGACGGCCGGTCCTCGAGCCACGTCACCTGTGCCACCAGGTAGGGTTTCGTCCGTACCAGATCTGTTACTCGGAACCGCTCCTGACCTTTGCAGATTAGGAAGAAGCGGTCGTCCACGAGCCGCTCGTGCTTCACAACTTCTCCGACACAGCCCACATCGGCGGCGCCGGTCGCGCTGTCGGAGTAGATCACTCCGAATCTGAGATCGGTCTGCAGCAGAGTGTGCATCATGATTCGGTAGCGGAACTCGAAGATCTGGAGAGGGATAACAGAACCGGGGAAGAGCACCAAGGGTAAGGGGAAAAGTGGGAGTTCGGTAACGTCATCCGACTTGGGGGAACCAGCGTGGTGAATTTCGGAGGATGAAGAAGCGGAACAGCGTAGAGAATTGGCGTTGCCCCGCCGCTGGTGGCCGCGACGGAGAGATGGTGATACAAGGAGATATTTACAAGGATTTAAGTAGGGTTTGTGCGAGATTACCGATGAAGAATGGGGATGCAAGAGCTGCTGAGGCAAAGCCATTGGAGCGAAGACGAAGAAGAATTACTCTGTATTACAGAAAAATAAAGTAAAAGTCGAAAATCAGAAAACGGATATTGATGATTTGAATTCAAGATTTTTTAGAACTCTGTGGAGAATGTGGTGCAATTGTTTACACGTTGGCATGTGTTATCTTAACTTACCGCTAATTCTATTTCCAGTCTCCAAATTATTAGTTACACTCACAAAATAAAGAGAAATCCCATTTCGCCCTTCCACTTAAATCAGTTCAGCCGTCCATAATCTGGCTTTCATCGTTCTTCCGGTCTGAAGTGCTCTTCAAATGCTCTGAGCTAAAGAATGAATGCGTTAATGTGCGTATATATTAAGAATGAATGCAGGCCACACCCCCGAATTAGAACCTGGCTCCGAGAACGAATGCGTTACTGGTCTACTTCATCTTCGAGAACCTGGCTCCATCCACGGTCCACCCATCTCGTACGAATTAGAACAAATGTAAAAATTAATGAGTTCTTGCCCTGAATTGTTGAAACCATCTGAGTGCTCTTACTGCTCTAGTCAAAATTTGTGCGACTTTGATAAATTGTTTTAAGAGTATGGTTGTTCGATGGATTTGAAATTCATTGTCCTAATTCATTTCGTTTAGCTTCTGAATTCGGAGTCTTATCGTGTGCTTTTCCATATATTCTTTAGATGTTATTTTCATAGTTTTTTTACTTTATTTTCAATTCCGAGGGGGTATTGGATGGCGGACCAGTTGTTTCCTTCGTTGTAGAAAGGTACTGAAATCCTTTCCTTGCTTTAGCAACCTCTATTATGACATATCACGAAGGAAGCTAGGCGAAGGGCTTGCCATAGCAGCCTTTACGGGAGAAGGGCAAAATAGGTATTAGTGTGATTTTGTGGCTGTAAATAGCAAATCGATGGCTGCAAATAGAATTGCCCTTACGATTATTGATGAATTATAAGGTACAACCGGCTGTACCTTGAGTCAGGCCCGGCCCAGGTGCAACTGGTGCTGGTGCACAGGGCCTCCATTTGAAAGAGGGCCTCCAATTTCCTGGCCCGTTTGAATTTTTGTTATTTGATCTTCTGGAGTACTCCGTCTGCGACTCTCTGAAGAATGCCAAGAAGAGGAATCGGTCGTCTTATGCTCCGTAGCATTTATTGCTGTAGAATTGTCCCCTTGTTAATGACGCCTATTTCGAAATCAGAACCCTAAAACATCTAATACGCTTATTAAACTCTCGAACCAGACTAGTACAGAGCTTTTAGCCTTGCTGCCTTCATCGATTTCAGATGAACGTAGTTCTAATGCTTCTCTACTGTAAAAAAAAAACTTCATCCACTGGGATGTTTTATTAGGCTTTGATAAATTCATCTAATCACTGGGTAATCCCATATTCACTCCCAGCTAGTGTGAGTTCATATGTTCAATTCCAGACCCCAAGCTTCAGCAATCATCTCCCCAACCTCTTCACTTTTGGCAATCAAAGAATTCACAATTAGTAAGTGGTTGTCTACTTCTCCCTATGTCCAGTCGACACAATCGTTTAGTGGTTGGACTGGTTTTGCACCTTGTTTACTTATTACTACGGAGTATTTGTTATATTTTCCATTTTAGTGGATATTTTAGAATTAGAAAATATCAATCTAGGTCTGAAAAAATAAGATGCAAAAAAGAAATGGAGGGTTAATGCTATAAAAAGCTTAATTTGTTATATACCATAATACCAATAACAAATTATTTCAAGCCCCTTATTCAATGTTGAACAGGGCCTCTAATATCTCAAGATTGGGCTGCCTTGAGCATGGTACAGCCGGATATTTTTGTAATAATAAAGAATTTCAAGCCTTTTAATAATGCTCTGCTCCCCAATTTTTGAAACTCGATCGGAGATGGCAACAGGGGCGAACAACGAAATCCAAGAGGGACGAACAAAACACCACCGCAGATGGCTCCAAGAGGTCCGATCAGCGCACAGGCAATCTGAAGGTAGATCAGAATCACTGCGCCGAATGAATTTTGTCATAGTTGAGAAGCCAATTCCTTACCCAAGTTCTAAATACACCGAATTTCGGCTTTATGAATGGCGAATTACTCCACTCAAGATTAGATGCACTTACAATTGTACCAGCAAAAAGTAAAAACGTGAATGGGGAATTGTAGGAGCCTTAACCTCGAATGTTCAAGAGGTGCTTGAACTTTGAATCCAATTTTTGATTTGGTTTTTCTTCCACCAGAGAATATGTAGTTGTTGTTGTGAAATGAAGAAGATGCAGAATAGATTAAAGAGATAGATATATTAATAATAACCTCTTAAATAACTTCTTCTTAATCTCTGAAATTTCTGAGTTTCTGAATTGTTTGAATAAATTTACAAAGGATTGAATGCCCTCTTTATACTAGCCAGACTTGGGATGAATCATCTAGGAATGATTCTACATAATTTGCTGGCAACATTAAACCTAAACATCTGTCTATTACAAGGACAGGAATTGGATTAGTGTCCTGATGACAAGGATGAAACATTCACACTTGTCATTCTCAGGAATTTACAACACTCCCCCTTGAATGTTCATCCTTGAATATGTATTTGTGAAAATGAGTGTGAAAATTAAGGGGTAAAAATTACGACATATAATGTCGTTGTATTTGGATGTACTGTCTCGTTAAAAACCTTATCAGGAAAAACCCAGTGGGATAAAAACCCGATGAAGGGAAAAAGAGTGCAGTGCATTCAAATACTCCCCCTGAAATTAACATAAATTTTGAAGGCGGCGCATGCCGATTTTCTGTACAAGTTCAACGAACTTCTTCGGGGGTAAAGATTTGGTGAAGAGATCAACTGGATTTTCACTGGATCTGATTTGCTGAACGTTGATCGTCCCTTCTTTCTCAAGGTCGTGAGTAGAGAAAATTTTTGGAGATATATGCTTCGTTCTATCTCCTTTGATGTAGCCTTCTTTAATTTGAGCTATGCACGCAGTGTTATCTTCGTAGATCACAGTAGGGTGACAACTAATAGCTTTCACACCACATTCATCTTGGATGTGTTGAATCATAGATCGCAGCCACACACATTCTCTCCCGGTTTCATACAGTGCAATTAATTCAGAATGATTTGATGATGTAGCTGTCAATGTCTGCTTCATAGATCTCCATGAGATTGCGGTGTTACCATATGTAAATACGTACCCGGTTTGTGATTTCGCCTTTTGAGGATCTGATAAGTATCCAGCATCTGCATATCCGATTAAATTGGATTTTGCATCTTTGTCGTAGAATAGGCCGAGATCAACTGTACCACGGAGATAACGAAATATGTGCTTGATCCCGTTCCAATGACGTCTTGTTGGACATGAGTTGTACCTAGCTAATAAATTTACAGAAAATGCAATATTTGATCTAGTATTATTAGCTAAATACATTAATGCTCCAATAGCACTCAAATATGGTACTTCGGGACCGAGTATTTCTTCGTCGTCTTCTCGGGGACGAAATGGATCATCATGTATGTTGAGAGATCGAATGACCATTGGTGAAGTCAAAGGATGAGCTTTGTCCATATAGAATCTCTTCAACACGTTCTCGGTGTAATTGGATTGGTGGATGAAAATTCCATTCTTCAAATGCTCAATTTGAAGTCCGAGACAAAATTTGGTTTTTCCGAGATCTTTCATTTCAAATTCTTTCATAAGATATTTTGCAGTATTTTCAATTTCATCAGGAGTTCCAATAATGTTTAAGTCATCAACATATACTGCAATTATGGCGAATCCCGAATTTGATCGCCGAATGAAAACACATGGACTAATTGGATCATTCTTATATCCTTCTTTGAGAAGGTATTCACTGAGACGATTATACCACATTCGTCCAGATTGTTTTAGTCCATACAATGACTTTTGTAATTTAATGGAAAACATGTCTCGAGGTTTCGAGCTATAAGCTTCAGACATTTTAAATCCACCGGGAACTTTCATATAAATGTCTGTATCGAGTGAACCGTATAAATATGCGGTCACTACATCCATTAGGCGCATTTGCAGCCTTTCAAAAACAGACATGTCAATGAGAAACCTTAATGTAGTCGCATCGACTACTGGAGAATAGGTTTCTTCATAATCAATTCCCGGCATTTGAGAAAAACCTTGGGCAACAAGTCGGGCTTTATATCTAACAATTTCATTTTTCTCATTGCGTTTACGCACAAATACCCATTTAAAACCCACAGGTTTTACGCCTTTTGGTGTAGGGACTATCGGTCCAAAAACATCACTTTTCTCAAGTGATTTTAATTCAGCCTGAATAGCTTCATTCCATTTTGGCCAATCTTGTCGTTTCCGACATTCTTCAATTGATGTTGGCTCATTGTCATTGTTTTCATTCATTACATTCGTGGCAACGACATAGACAAATATCTCATTAATATCAATATCTTTTCGATTCCATTGCATTCCAGTAGAAACGTAATTTATTGAAATTTCATAATTATCAACGTTTTTATCAGTATCTGGAATATCTTCCTCATTTAAGGATGTTGGATCATTATTTGAGATGTTTGTTTTGTCAATATCATTTTCTATGCCAGTATTTTCAAATTGTTCATTTTCTTGTTCAGAAGGATGAACATCTTTGGCATCACAGATCAATTCCTGCCTTTTAGATTTTCTTGGTTTTATGTCTTTTGATCCAAGTGGCCTGCCACGCTTTTTGCGTATAAAAGAATCATTTGCGAGAGATTTTTCAGAATTCTCTGCAGGAATTTCGATTCTGGCAGGGACATTCATAGCAGGAATATGTGATTTTGTCACTTTCTTTGTGTCTGTGAATGCATCAGGCAACTGATTTGCAACATTTTGTAAATGGATTATCTTTTGCACCTCTTGTTCACATGTATTTGATCTAGAATCAAGGTGTGATAATCCTGTATTCCATGTTATTTCTTTCGTACTTGGGTCTGATTTATTAGTTTCCCCCCCTAAGGTTGGGAATACTGTCTCATTGAAATGACAGTCAGCCAAACGTGCGGTGAATAAGTCACCGGTCATCGGTTCAAGATATTTTACTATTGAGGGAGATTCAAATCCAATATAAATTCCCAACCTTCTCTGAGGACCCATTTTTGTACGATGGGGTGGAGCAATCGGAACATAAACAGCACAACCAAATATTTTTATGTGTGCTAAGTTTGGCTCTTGTCCAGTAACTAATTGCATTGGGGAATATTCATGATATGCAGTCGGTCTAAGCCGAATTAAATTTGCTGCATGCAAAATAGCATGTCCCCAAGCTGATGAAGGTAAATTACACTTCATTAATAATGGTCTAGCGATTAATTGTAATCGTTTAATCAAAGATTCAGCAAGACCATTTTGTGTATGGACATGAGCAACATGGTGCTCCACATCAATCTTAATCGACATACAATAGTCGTTAAATGATTGGGAAGTAAATTCTCCTGCATTATGAAGTCGGATTCTCTTTATAGAATGATCCGGAAAATGAGCTCTT